TGAGTTTTAGGCTATAAAGGAAATATAAATATAGAAAACCCTTAATTAGATTTCATTAATTTTTTTGTTTGTTTTAGTAATTTAGAAATGTAAAAAATTTGTATGCCTGAGAGGTTTATTATAAGGACAAGTGTATAATGGCTTCTGACTAGTACTTAACTTTAGTCTTTTTCTCATTTTGGGGGTAAAATGGTGCTAGATATCTGAGGCCCTCTTTACTTTTATATTTACTTTATGCTAAAATTTCAAATTACTCTTTCTTAAAGCAATTCCTAAAGTCCTTGTGTCTCAGACCCCATTGACCATTTGAGGAACTCTGTCCCCTCCTTAGACAGATCTTTTACACATAAGACCCAAAGCTTGTATGTCAGTTCAAGGTCTTTGTGAACTTTAATTCTCAGTGTTAGATCAAGACCAGGCAGTACTCTAGACTTAAGACTCATCGATGTATATGTTAATAATTCTCATATTGTAATTTTTAATACAGTCCATTTGTTCTTTTATTTGTTGAAATACTGTTTATATTCTGGATTGTAATAAGTAATATTTTTATATAATGAATGACTTTTTTAAATATTCACATCTTTCATGCTAGTGGGCTTCCTCCTAATCTCAAATTTGGAGACTTTAACATCAAGAGAAATAATTACTGTGACAACTATAATAATAACAACTAACATTTATTGAGTGGTTATTGTATGCCAACACTCTTCTATATGCTTTTCTTAACATTAACTTGTTTATTTCTCACCACAGCCTTTTGCGGTAGTTAATTTTGAAAAAATTGAGGGATTGAAAAGTTAGGTGTAACTTTTCCATGTTTACTGTTCTTTCTTTTCTTTCAGTCTCTTGTTGAACAGCTAGAGCAAGAGAGAGAGAAGAGATGGAAAGCTCAACAAACTGAAAAGAAACTAATGGACTATATCAGTGAATTGCATAAGAATGCGAAAGAAAAGAAAGATGTCCACAGTCTGGCTCTGCTTACCACAGATAGGTAAGGGAAAAGGAAGCCCTCGCACAAAATTACTGAACTTGGAACTTGAAGTTTAAACTCGCCCTAGTTTAAGCTCGATGTAATATAATAAGTTATAATGTCTGTGGCTGTATAGTGGTTTAACCTAAATTTAGAGATTTAGTGGTTTTAGATTTTTATATAAACTAGGGATTTAAGCAAAATTTAATTGAGCTTTCAAACTACTTAAGCTGAGAGTTTTCAGAAGTATGAACAAATCAGATAGCGCCGTAGATGGGCAACTTTCTATAAAATACACATAGTTAATTTTTAGGAATGGCTGGTCATATTCAGCTCTCAGATATTCTTCTATAATGAACTTTAATGCTAGATAGCCTAGATTTTACAAAGGACTTCAAAACGTTTGTTGAAAAATTCCATTATCTTTTCATTTTACTTTTTTCGTGAACTTTTGGAAACCCCTTGTATTAATTTTAGTGCTTTTAGTTGTTACCTTATTCATTTGTCTCCTCTTTTATATGTCCATTCTGTGATACAAATCTTAGTACATTTTGTGAGGATGCCAGACCATTTTCTTTTTTTTTTCCCTTCACTTGCTGTAGGTAACTATTTCTAAATTAAACTTTAGAAAGTAATCAGCGTTTTCCCCAAGTTACCTATTCTTTCTGTCCCTTCTTATCCTTGAATGAATACTAGGTTTTCAGCCTTGGTGTTTGCTGAAAAATAGGTTTGGATAATTGCTATTGTTTCAATTTCTGACCAATTGTGCAATGGATAATTCCCCCTCTAAGATCTTAATTGAATAGTAAGTTGATATATGCCATTCCCTAACCCAATGTCCAGTTTCTGTGAGGCATTTAACCCATAAAAGTTTCTAAAGGCCGAGGTGGCGTCTTCACCCCACTACTTGATTCCCTCATACTCTATACCCACAGGGTTTGAGAAAACAACATACCCCACTTGTAGTAAGTGGAACCCTCTCATTGCGCGTATTTCATTTCTACCATACTTCCTACTGTCTCGTGTTAAATATTCAATATTCTCTGGTAATATTGAGCTTTATTCTTTTGGATTCCAATTTTATCCATAATCCAAACCCTTGGGATTACATTTCTCCAATTCTCATATTGCTGTATGTGCTTTAATAGGAACTCTGTATCTTTGATATCTAACAGAATCTGGTGCCTAAATAGCATTCTGTGAGTATTTATTATCTCAAAAAAAATCTAACTATCTGGCATAGTTTTAATACCTAACATATAAACTCCCATATCTTTATCTGTCCTTTTGACCTCCTTGATGAGCAGACCTGTTCAGCTAATTATTAAAAATGCTTGACTACAATAAACTTTTTAAAAAGCAAAATCCCCCAGCTCATTGCTTGCAAATCAATTCCAACTTGTAGCGATCCTATAGAGCAGAGTAGATCGGCCTATAGGGTTTCCAAAGTGCAATCGCTAAGAAAACTAGCTGCCACGTCTTTCTCCCAAGGAATGGCTGGGGGCTTTGAACTGCCAATCTTTGAGCTAGCAACTCAGGCCTCTAGCCATGACACCATCAGGGCTCCAGGAAGAATCTCAAGTTACGGTATGTCTTGTAGGAAGATTCATTCTGCTCTTTTCTATCATTCCTTTACCTAGTAAATAGTATTCATGTCCAGTCCAGTCATCTACCAATGACAGAAATCTAGGAATCCTTTTTGTCCCCTTCCTTTCTCTTTCTAGTATACAGTAGCCAGTCAGTGTTGATGACTTCCCCTGTCTGTTTCTTAAAATCATGAGTAAATCACAAAGTATTGCTGCTAGGGTTCGGGTATATTCCAAACAAAATGTTTTTAGACATGTTGCATTCATTAGATGGCTGCAGACAAGTTCTTTCAGTATTGCTCTTGTCTTTGGTCTTGTTAAGGGGTTTTCAGAAACAAAAACAAAAAGTCCAACCAGAACTGGCTTCAGAAGGGAATCCTGCTAGGCTAGTTAAATTCAAGGCAGAGAGGTCAGCTCAGATTATGGGGACTGTTATACAAAGGTGATATTGAGAGATTTTTCTCAGATGACATAGGACAATCATGGGGGGTTGTCAAGAAGATTTAAAGCAAAGTACATTGGTGAGAAGATACTAAGAGTTTTTCCCACAAAGGAAAATTTTCCCATTGAGACAATGCACCTGCTCGTTCTTTCAGGGTAGCAGTATCTGTCCTACCAGAACTGCTGGGGCAATCACCCTCTACACCCCATAGCTCTGATCGTGCCCCTGCAGACTTTTTATTGTTTCCATAACTCAAAACTTATAAAGCGAACCCAATTTGAGGACAGATAAATTGCCAAAACTACCATTTTACTGTGGTGTAAACTGAAAAGTTTAGACTTCTTTAGGGAAGGGTTAGAGATGAAAATGCAACCTTTCGAAATGTATAGACCTTGATTGAGGATATGTTGAGAAATAATAGCTTCCTATTGTGATAATTTTGTTTAATAAAGGTGTCTGATTTCACAGCAATACTTTTTGACTTACTTTCCAGTGTTAAAACTGATAGTCATATCCCACAATGGTTATCTTTCTCTTTTTATATCCCTTTTCTCTTGTTAAAGTATTGCTGTAGCTCTATTTCTCTATAACCTTTCTGTCCCTGTGTCCCGTATAATCCACAGATACAATCCCAAACTCTTTTTATATAGAGCATGCCAAACGACTTGAGAGAGGGAACGCAGTGAAACCAGTTTGGATGTTCTCAAAGGCAAGGGGAAAGATGGTAAGGACAAGAATTAGAGAAAGGGATTATAATATAGAATTTGATGTGCATAAATGTTTTTTAAATATGCCTTCGACATTACAGTAGGTATATGAGTCATTAGAAGGGCTGCTTCGTAATTCCTTCAGGTGGCTGTGTGTGCAGGTCAGTGTCCTCTTTCAAACACTAGACTTGTATCATTCCACACTGCCTCTCTGTCAGTTCCCTGCTGCTCAAGTCCTTTCAGTCAGTGAGCCCCTTCCAGGCCTCCTGCCATCTTCAGTGGACTGTCATCGGCCCACAAAGCAGCTCTTTCAGAGGTTTATCTTGCAGGAACCCTAGTTCCAATCTGCTTTGCTCCAGGCTCTTCTTGAAGTTCCTTATTCACTCACCCAATCTCTATGGGGTTGACTGTTCACATGAGGAAGCTCCTTGTCGATTTCAAAGCATGGTCCAGCCAGGAAAACCACAAATTCACCAATCCCCTTAGTGGACCTCAAATGGTTCAGTGCTGTGTTGTGGTTTTACCCATCACCTTTCTGAGCAGTGAATGGACTCATCCCTGAAAAGTTGAGGAAGCAGACCAATCACAGAGCAGAATGCAGGCCAGAGCCTAAAAGACCATATATGAGAAGCCCATAGCATCGCACTATCCTTCTCAAGCTGCTGAACCAACATCCCTTTCTGCTTAAGCTAGTTCAGACTTTTCCATTGTCCCAGAGTTCTCACTAATACAAAACTGGAATTGTTACTTGTAGTAGTCGATGTCAGTGTCATGTAGCTATTCGGTCACATGGCTTTATAAATGTTCCCTCTGCTACCTAACTGAGCTCTATAAAGGTAGAGGCTATGTTTTACTCATCTTATTTTTACGCTACAACACAATGCCCCAAACAAAGTAGGTACTCAGTAAAACTTTGCTGTCAGTTAATAAAGTTTAGATAAAAGCGTAATTAATTAATGTAGACTCTTTTCTCCTTTTGGTTCCAAAAGTTTCAGGGGTGGGAAAAAGTATGTTACATTGTTTTTCAGCCATTTAGTTTTACTTAGAGGTTGACACATGCCCCAAATCTTTTCTCTCTCCTGTAAGCTGTAACGTAAATTTAGCATATATATTCAAAATTACGTCATTGTTATATGGCTCAAATACTTAAAGTTACATTTGATTTTTATTTCAGACTAAAAGAAATTATTTTTAAGGAGAGGAATGCCAAAGTACAACTCGAAGTTATGGTTCACACACTTCAGAATGAAATTAAAAAACTAACTGTTGAATTGCTTAAAGCGAGAGATCAACAAGAAGGTCACCTTAGAGACTTAAGAACCCTGGAAAAGGCATTAGAGAAATTGGAGAGGCAAAAGGTTCATCAGCAGGTGGCTCAGGTATTTCTCCATTTTAATATGTCCACATGGATTAGCACAAATTCATAGTTTCTGTCTTGATACAAATTATACCATTATAGCAACCCTAAAAGGTGCTGAGCTATGTAGAAAGGCACCCTGGCATAGCAGTTTGACTTGTGAAATGATTTCTAAAGTTAAGCTTCTGGTGCTTGTACAAAGTAATTGCAAAAGAAATTGGTAGAAAGGGTGGTTGGTTGTTAGGTTTGATTTTTGAGAGAGCTTTTTGTTTTTAATCTGGAAGTTCGAAACCACCAGATGCTGTGTGGGACAAAGACAAAGAAGGGGCTTTCTACTCCCATAAAGAGTTACAGTTGCTGAAACTCACTGGGGCAGTTCTACCCTGTCTTAAAGGGTCACTGAGCCAGCATCAACTTGGCAGTGAGTTTGATTGGATTTTGTTTTGGAGTGCTGGGAAATCTTTAATATCGTGCTTTCTGAATGGAAATATTCATGAGATCTTTCTGATGCCCGTAAGCAGTGAAGAGAGGTGTTTAATGGTCGCAACGTTGTGCTTTGTGTGACCTCAGCACCGTTGGTTGGCTAAACTTTGGAATAGTCACCAGTTTCTGTCATTTATAGAAAGCAACTTTGTTTTGGAAACTGGCATAAAAATAGAAGCAGGAATGTTTTCTTATCTAAATACTGTAATTGTGTTTTACTTAGAGAAGACTTATCGAAGAGGTAGAGCTCAAAGCTTCAGCTGCTGATAGAGAAATAAACCTACTTAGAAATTCCCTTCATCAAGAAAAGGAAAAATTGCAACAGCTTCATGAACTTTTTGCAGTGAAAGAACAAGAACATAGGTAAATAAAATATATGAGAAATATCTTTAAGTAGAAAAAGACGGTTACTATCCCCATCCCACCCATCCTAAAACTAGATTGTGGTTGAGCAATGGTGTGGTTAAGTCTTGACATGATTAACTCATAGAAAATGACTTATGTATATTTATTACAATCAGTCCTACAGTAAGAATTATTGTCCTAAACACAAAAAGATAACTATACTGACAATTTGTTTGTTTTTTTGGTTTTGTTTTCCCTCAAAAGTCTTTAGGTATTGTGACACTGAGTTTATTTGCATAACCCTAAACTAAATCAAAAGTTGCTCATTATACATAGAAAAAAATGTTTGAACTGATTGCCACATCGCCACAATAAATTAATTTGCATCCTTTATCCCCGTGAAGCACACTTTTTTTGTAAAGGGCTAAATGGTAAATATTTTAGGCTTTGCAGATCATATTTTTCTGTCACTGCAGCGCAAAATTGCCAAAGATAATACTTAAATGCAAAGACAAGAGGGTATGCTTTCATTTATTTACTCCCCCAAATCAATAAAACCATTTGCAAAGAAAGATGATAAGCTAGATTTCAGACCCCTGCTCTTTAGAGTCTCTGGTAATTTGAATGCTTCATGCTTAATGTCTACTTAATGCCATACAGTTGAGTTGTGTGATTGCCATGGGTTACTTGTATTTGTTTCTAAAGTTCTTTTGGTTTTGAACATACCTCAGTTAAATTTTTACTTTATAAATTATATTTTAATGTTTTGGGAACGTGTGTGTCATAGTATAGTTGGGTGAGATAACTTAAAACAGAGAGAAATAATCACAAAAATTCTAGGATTTTTGCACTTAAAGTTTGCTTCACAAATGTCTTTTAAGCTCCTTTTTTTAAAAAAAAAGCTTGAAATAGTAAATTTTGCTTTTTGGAAGAATCTTAATACATTCTTATTTAATTTTTTTAATTGGCCTTATATCAAAAGATTGATACTTTCACACTTTAAGTGAGCTTTTCTTTTAAACAACCACCCAGCCCAAGTCAGACTATATTTATTGTGTGTCAAAGACTTCACCAAAGTAGAAGACAACGTGAAGCAGAATTTGACTTCTGCAAGTGCACCTAAAGTGTCAGAGCCACAGACTGATTCCGCACGGTCTTAGTGAAGCTTCAGATTTGACGTGCTTCACTTATTCTCCTCAACATCCGCTATACAATCACAGAACTAACTATTTTTGTTTTAACTACAGTACCATACCCAGTTTCTGTGCTTAAAACAATGGAGTTGATCTTAATTTTCACAGCAGTAAATATAGAATATTTAAGAATGATTTAAAGACCTTGAACTTTTTCCTTTTCAGGTGGCCGCATCCTGTGACTTGTATTTGTTTCTTGTTCCAGGAAAGAACTTGAAACCAGGGACATTTTTAGTGAAGCTGACTTCCAGGATGCCTTAGCGAAAGAAATATCCAAACGAGAGAGCAAGCATGAGAAAGATATAAAAGAATACCAAGAGAAAATTGAACTGTTAATACAGCAGTATATGGATTTAGAAGATGAATTCCGAATTGCTCTGACTGTTGAAGCCAGAAGATTTAAAGATGTAAGAATTGGCATGTAGCTCTTTATTGAGAACAGAATTGGCAAGATATCATTTGATTAGAATCCTGGTTCTATTTACATATTGGCCAGTTGTCCTTAGGCAAATTACTAGTACAATTACAAGACCAAATATTATAAGAGCACTGGAATAGGGATTGGGAAACCTGAATTCCCTCCCGTCACACAGTTGGTAAGTTAAGGCCGTTGGTCTAAATCTCAAGTAGCCATGGCTGCATTGTGGGGTAAGCTGTAAGCTGCTAACTGCAAAGTGAGCTGTTCAAGACCATCAATCACTTCGAAGGAGAAAATGGGGCCTTTTACTCCCGTGAAGATTTATAGTCTCAGAAACCCATAGAGCCAGTTCAAGTCTGTTTTGTAGAGTCAGTGAGTCAGTGATTACCTGGTAGTGAGTTTTGGTTTGGGGCCAAATGTGACCCTCTTTCTGTTTTTTTGTAAATAAAATTGTACTGGAACACAGTCTTGGGCATTTGTTGACATATTGTCTGTGACTGCTTTTGCTTTGGGTTCTAAGAGTTGAATAAATTATTCCTGAATTTTATTCTTTGGCTAAAACTGAAATCATAAAATTGAAAGAAATTAAAACTTTTTTCCAGAAAGATGTTTTCTAAAATATTTGGAAAACTGCTATTTATAATGTAATTTTGAAATATAGGTTAAAGATGGTTTTGAAAATGTTGCAACAGAATTAGCGAAGAGCAAACATGCTCTTGTTTGGGCTCAACGAAAGGAAAATGAATCTTCCTCTTTAATTAAAGATCTGACCTCTATGGTAAAGGAGCAAAAAACAAAACTTGCAGAAGTTTCCAAATCGAAGCAGGAAACAGCTGCAAATTTACAGGTAAGACTTTGTAACATTATAATTCCTTTCTTACATTTTATATTATTTTTTGAAGTGTGTTTTAATTATAGGAGCACGCGAAATGAACTTCTAAATGGTAGTAGTTATGATGTTGTATTGAGAAATGTAATTTAAATAGGAACTCAAACCCATGACTTCACAGATAATAATTGTTATGCTAAAATAGTATTTAAATAATCAATTAAAAATATATTTGGTAAATAGATACGTTAGATAGCAAAATTTAATGTATTTATTGCTGTCGTCTCTGTTTTAAATATTACTGCTGTTTTACCCAAGATAACTTACTGAAAGAAGCAGTCACATTGGCATAAATGCTTATTGAGAAATTTGGGGTATGACACATTGCAGTTGTTCCTTTTAAGAAATTAGCATAAATGTTAAAGCAAATGTATTAAATTGTGATTTTTTACTGCTCTCGTGTCCACTTAGCTTTAATTTAGAAAAGTAAAACTTTTTCTGTTATAAAATTTGAGAACATTTACATTGTATGTGTTTAAATAAAATATTTTCTCAAAATGCAAATAAATTTAGAAACTGAAAGAACATTTAAACTTTGCACTATTTACTTTTCACCTTTGCGGGGTACAGAATCAGATCAATACTCTCGGCCTTCTGATTGAAGACGACAAGCAGAAGAGTATTCAAATAGAGCTTCTCAAGCAGGAGAAGGTCCAGCTGATCTCGGAGCTCGCGGCCAAGGAGTCACTCATTCACGGCTTGCGGACAGAAAGAAAAGTGTGGGGACAGGAGCTGGCCCAGCAGGGTAAAAGCCTCACTCAAGGGAAAGTCGCCCTTGGTTATTATACAACGATAGAGAAGGAGCAGCTTAACTCCGTCTAGAGATGCCAGAACGGTTTTTCTAATGGAGGCAGCTCTGGTTCTGAAAGAATAAATATACATTTGAAAACCAAGCAGGAATGATGTGCCTCTTATCCAGTGGGAAATTGTTACAGCAGCCAACAAGTTATAGCCCTGATTTATTTTTTTGTTTTCTTTCCAGTATAACTTGGCTGAAGATATAATACCTTTCCAAAGTTGTTGGAAATATTTTTTTATATCGTGATTTTAGATTCTTTAAGTAGTATCTAGAAACTCATAGTTTTCTTCAGATATTTGCAACATACATCCTATTTTGCAGGCAGAAATGTAAACTAATGTAGGGGTAAAAATCATTTCAGAGAATCCTCAACCTCATTCTCTTTCCTAGCACTTAAAGCCAGAGATGTCCACTATAGTATGGCATTTTACATACTTTAAAGAGAGTAGGCCACTGGAGATCCCCTTGCAGAGGGGTCTCGGGGAGGAGATGAGCCAGTCAGGGTGTGATGTAACAATGATGAGAAATACAACTTTCCTCTAGTTCCTAAAGGTTTCCTCCCCGCTCCCACTACCATGACTCAAATTTGACCTTGCAAGTCGGGCTAAACCATAGAATGTACACTGGTACAGATAGGAACTGAAAATACAGGGAATACAGGGTGGATGAGCCCTACAGGACCAGTGGTGTGAGTGGCAAAACAGGGAGGGTAAAGGAAGAGTGGGTAGGAAAGAGGGAACCGATTACAAGGAACTATATGTGACCTCCTCCCTGGGGGACAGACAACCGAAAAGTGGGTGAAGGGAGACGTCGGACAGGGCAAGATATGACAAAATAACAATTTATAAACTATCAAAGGCTCTTGAGGGAGGAGGGAGGGAAGAGGGAGGGGAAAAATGAGGACCTAATGCCAGGGGCTTGAGTGCAGAGGAAATGTTTTGGGAGTGATGAGAGCGATGAATGTACAGATGCACTTTGCACAGTTGATGAGTGTGTGGATTGTGATGAGAGTTGTGTGAGCCCCTAATGAAATGATTAAAAAAAAAAAAGATTTCAAATTGCTAGATGTTAGCCCTATTGTAGTCTTGCTCAATTTGTTCATTCCTTATAGGAATTTTTAATATACTTTTGTTTATTAAAAAGGCATAACATGATCAGATATTTTATGTCTTGAGTTTTTTGGTCTTTTGATTTATGATTTTAGTGTGTTGAGTAACCACAGCTCTTTAAAAGGTCTGTTTGTTCTCTTTTCTCTTTTTATTATAGTTTGTTTGTTTAGGGTATTGTTTTCTATTTTTAAGCACTGTTTAAATTAGATTTTCATAAAATACAAAACTTACAGCATCTCTTAAAAGTCCATTGCTGACAGTGTTTGTTTCTTAGGTGCTACTCTGGCCCAAAATCGTGGAAATTTAGAAGCCAAAGTTGAAAATTTATGTAGAGAGAATGAAACTCTTCGAAAGACAAATGAGCGTGATTGTGATGCTTTAAGAATTAAAAGCAAAATTATAGATGACCAAACCGATACCATCAGGAAATTGAAAGATGTAAGTTTGACTTTTTACTTCGGTAAAAGAGCAAATGGGGTGGGGTGAGAAAATGGGCAACTTGGAAATCAGTGCAGTAATCCAAAGTATCCGAAATGTATATGAGTCAATGATTTCTACCTGTTTTCAAAGTACTATGTATTTATTTGTTCACATGAATTGAATTTTACGTCAAAAATTTATGGAGAATTTTTCTATATGTCCCTCTGAAACTATTTGGAAATACTTGGTGTCAATACAGGATTCGAAAATCAACATTTTGTACATTTACTCTTTTTAAAAGGTGGTTCAGGTGGTTAAATATTTGGTTGCTAACTGAAAGATTGGTGGTTCAAATCCATCTAGGAGGAGACCTTGAATCGGCTTCCATAAAGATTGTAACCAAGGAAACCCTGTGGCATAGTTCTGCCCTGTCACCTGTGGTCACCAGGAGCAGAAAACACCACAACAGTACCCAACAACAGCAGCTCTTACAAGACATTTTTTATTATCATCCAGTACTGTTGAATCCTTTCTCAAAATTGTGGCAAAATCTATTCCACATTGAAGAAGTGAGAAAGAGATGGTGGCTTCCCAGGGAAATCTCTTTTTCAATTTAGCCTTTCAAAATAATTCTAACAGGACCATTGGGGTTTTTTGTTTGTTTGGGTTTTTTTAATCGTTTTTAGGGGCTCATACAACTCTTTTTTTTTGCTCATACAACTCTTATCACAATCCATACATCCATCCATTGTGTAAAGCACATCTGTACATTCATTGCCCCGGGACCATTTGTTTAGAAGTATCTTCCTAGAGAGTTATCTTGGGCACTGAATCAAATTTGAATTTCAAAACTTTCTCCAAGATTTTACCTCTTAATTTGAAAATAACCAAGGAAAAGGAATTCAGAAAGCTTCCAATTAGGCTATTCAGCTGTAAAGTTAGTGACGTCCTCTACCTCAGTAGGTTTATGTTGTTGTTGTTGTTGTTTTTAATTGGTTTCAAGACACTCTTTGAAAACTTTAACCAATTTCAGGAAATAGACGTGTGTAAGTCCAGGTAGACTAGAGAAACAAATTCATGAACGCTCATGTATATAAGAAAGAGGTTTATATAAAGGGTAATTATACATTAAGAAAGCATCCCAACCCAGTCCAGTCCAAGCCCTTAAGTCCAATATTAGCCCATATGTCCAATACAGATCTATAAAGTCATCTACTGATACTGAATGCAGGGAGATCACAGGCCAGTGAGTGCAAAGTCAGTGGCGGTAGAAGCATCTCAGCACTGGCAGGGGTCTGTATGCGCCTCCTCCAATTCCCAGGGCTGCATCAGGGTAGGTCCATGTGGCTTCTCCTCAGGGATGTCTAGCAGGATGGGAGCCAAGAGAGAAATTGTCTCCTGCCTCCAAGGAGGAAAATTAGGACTTCCCATAATTCTCAGAAGACCATGCCCACACAGAGGCCTTATTAGCTATGATCTGATTGACAGACTAGACTCCACCCCTTCATTAGTAATCTTTACTAATTGATACCAGATTATATAACTACCATCACATGTATTACTTTATTTATAGCTAAGTGTAAGCCATCAATGCTAGAAGTGTGTTTCAGTAAACACTTACATTGATGTTTGCTTACTTGAAGTTTCAATATCAATATCTTCAAATTTTCAAAAATAACTCATATACAAGCTATACTGAACGTTATTGGTTTTTTTAATAAATCATTTTATTGGGGGCTTTTACAGCTCTTATACAATCCATATATCAATTGTATCAAGCACATTTGTACATATATTGCCATCATTATTTCTAAAACATATTTTTTCTACTTGAGCCCTTGGTATCAGCTCCTTTTCTCCCCCCTTCTCCCCCCATCCCTTTACTGAAAGTTATTGTTGAAATATTTGTGTGTGTGTTGAAATATTTTAACAATGTGTTTTTTGTTGTTTTCAAATCTAACAGTGAGGGAAAGGCGTGCTCATTGTTTAGGGGGACACAGCTTCTGTTAAGAATGATAGAAATAAAAAAATAATAAAAAGAATGATAGAAATAGATAATGGTTATAGTTTAACAATAGTTGAAATTGTTGAGTGGAGACCCAAAGCCCATCTGTAGGCAACTGCACACCCCCTTGCTGAAGGGTCGCGGGGAGGAGATGAGCCAGTCAGGTTCCAGGGTATCAACGGTGAAACATGCAACTTTCCTCTGCTTCTTAAATGCTTCCTCCCCCCACTATCATGATCCCAATTCTACCTTACACATCTGGCTATCCCATAGAATGTGCATTGGTACAGATAGGAACTGGAAAGACAGGGAATCCTGGACAGATGACCCCTTCGGTGGAGGGAAGGTGGGGTAGAAAGGGGAAACCAATTACAAGGATCTACGTATAACCTCCTCCCTAGGGGATGGACAACAGAAAAGGGAGACGTCGGACAGTGTAAGATATGACAAAATAATAATTTATAAATTATCAAGGGTTCATGAGGACGGGGGACTGGGGAGGGAGGGGGAGAAATGAGGAGCTGATATTAAGGGCTGAAGTAGAAAGTAAATGTTTTGAGAATGATTATGGTAGCAAATGTACAGATGTGCTTGACACAATGGATGGATGTATGGATTGTGATAAGAATTGTATTAGCCCCCAATAAAATGTTCTAAAAAAATAGTTGACATTGTTAAGGTCATTGAACAATACATGTGTTGAAGGGTAAAATAATGAATATTGTATTAAATATTTACAAGAATTCTTTTGTTTTTTACCTAGTCAAGCAGATTATCTTTTGAATGAAGCAAGATTTGTGATTTGCATTCAAACCTTGCAGAGCAAAACATAATGATACTCGGAGAATAGTTTATTCAGTATTTTTGATATAATTGACTACTTCTATGGTAACTTTTGTGGCCTATTATCTCTGAATAGTTTGGGAATATAGTCATAGTAGTAAATGACCCAAACCAAACCTACTGCTGCCTAGTCACAGCAACAACAAACACGCTGCCATTGAATTGGCCAACCCTATTGGAAAGAGTAGCACTGTGACTTAAGAAACTGTCAATCTTCCCAGGAGCAAGTAGCCTCATCTTTTCTCCCAGCAAGCAGTTGATGGGTTTGAACTACTGACTTCATTTTTAACAGCCCAATGCCCAGTCCACAGTCTTCATAGCAATTTTACATTCTCCAATACTTACTGCCATGGAGTTGAATTGGCCTTCTGGGTTTTCAAAGCTGTAAATAATTCATGGGGAACAGTAAGTTTCATCTTGTACCCACAGGGTTGCTAGTGATCTTAGACTGCTACCCTAAAGGATAAAACTGCTCCACAGGGCTTTCCAAAGGCTGTAAATCTGTATCGAACCACTGATTTCATCTCCTGGGGAACTGCTGGGGACATTTCAGTTAGCAGCCCAGCACTTACCACCAAGGATTCTAGGGAATGAACAGTGAAACCAAAAAGAAATGCGTTTGGCTCTTCAATTTTGCATCTTTTACAAATTTTTTCAACCCAGCATCGATGAAAGTGCATATCTTAAAAAAATTTTATTTTCAAGTTAGTACATTTACTTTAAAGAAAATTGCCTCAGCCTCAAAGAATCATGATGGTTTCCAAGTAATAACATAATATTCAAAGATAATTGCACACAGTTATCTTCAGGAGTAATTTCATCATAACTAATACCTAAAAGTAAATGTCTAATCTGTAAAATTAATTGGAAGTTTGATGTTTTCAAGTAAACTGATTGTGTTAGCTTGTAATAAATTAGTGTTTTTTTGGTGTTGGGTTTTGTTCGTTCATTTGTTTCCTCCCTTTCCTCATTTCAGTACTTTTCCCATATATATGCTTCACAAGATTTTCTGATGCTGTGATAGTCATTTTTTATTGATATATTTACTAAATAAGAAATATTTTTGTAGCCTTTGTGACTGTCTGATTATACATATCAGGACTGCTCATGTATGCATTACAGAGACAGAGAAGCCTTTAGAGAAACTAAACACTTGTAATTTTAATTCAAATTTGCTCCAAACTAGAAGACATCCTGAATCTTTGCTTAGGATTTTAAGAACAAAAGAGACAAAAGTATTGAAATACAAAAGTAATATCCTAAAAGATATAGGATATTCTTTAAACATTAACGTGTCTAAATATCCCACATAAGTTTTAATGACTTGCAAATAGCATCTAAGATCATTTTGGCCTTTTTTAATTTTCTTCTGGTTTTCATTGTACAAAGATAACAATGAGAGTTAAAAAAAAAAAGCACAAAAAAGAGTGTCATTAAAAATCATGGAATTTGTCCACAAACTTTTTAGAGCCCTCTTGTAGAATAAACTCTGTCTTGTAGAACAGAAAGTAGAATTTTTTAAATGAGGGAATGTAAAGCTTGCTACATTTTAATAGTGATGAGGGTAAACTTTATTTTAAATTTAAAATGTTTACTCATCCCCTAATGAAAGAAATACTTCTTTACACATCAGAAATAGCAATAGAGTTTCCGCGCAGTGGGAGAGCAGCCTTTGGCACAGCACAATTAGCTGCCTGGTGTTTTCTTTCTACGTTTGTCATGAAACTGAAGATAATCCTTCAAATGCTAAATTAGAATGCTGAATGCTTTTCAAACTTTTAAACACCTTTCTTGAGGTATTTCATACTGTTTTATTTTCCTTCTCCCCCCTCTGTGGTTGATAATTAATGCAGTGGAATAAAAATTATAAGAGGACAAAGATTCGCTTATTCATAATGCCTTTCTTTTTAATCATTTTATTAGGGGCTCATACAACTCTTATCACAATCCATACACACATCAATTGTGTAAAGCGCATTTGTATATTCATTGCCCTCATCATTCTAAACATAATGCCTTTTATACATAGTATTGGAATGTTTTGAATTGGTAACAATTTAAATTGTTAGGAAAATCTTTTCTCAATACTGAGGAAGTGTTTTAATTTGTAGTTTTTATAATCATATTTTAAAATATCTAATAAACTAGAAAATAAGACATTTAGAATTAGTAAAACTAAAGTACTGTTTTTTTTAAGTGTTTACAGGAAAGAGATGAAGACATTAAAACATTACAAGAAAAAATTTCCGAAATACAGAGATGTGCACAGGAACAACTTGAGGAAAAATCTTCACAACTAGATATTGTGATCGAGAAATTAGAAAGACACAATGAAAGAAAAGGATTGCTGAAACAACAGTTGAAAGAAAAGGAAGAAGAGCTTGAAGAAATTAGAAATGCTTATAGGTACCAGCACAGTTCTCCACTAACATAAGATACAGTTCAATTAATACTTATATTCAGTTTTATTTTAAAATTATTTCTTCTCATATTAGTACACTCAATCAGAAGTGGCAAAATAAAGGAGAACTTCTAAGTCTTCTTGAAGTGCAAGTAAAGGAAGTGAAGGAAAAATTTGAAACCAAGGAAAGGAAACTTAAGGAGGAAAGAGACAAAAGTATTGAAATACAAAAGTAAGTAATACACTAAAGAATGTAGGCTGTCTTTTCAATAAAACTGAATTAGGATGGATGAGATACAGATGAAGAATGAAAAACAAGCTAAAAATCATGTAGGACATATTTGTATGGTAAGTACTTTAATTCCACCCATGAGAAATACAGTAGAGGTGGTATCTTCCATGGTGTTTAGTGGTTAGGAGATCAAACTGATAATCAAACTGCTTGGGACCAGTTCTGCAGCTGAACTGAGGAATTGAACATAACATTTAATGAACTATTTAATCTCTCTTTATTCTAAAGTCTTATCTATAAAATGACGATAATAGTTCCTGCCTTAACTGTTTGATGCAAATTTTAAACGTGTGTGTGTGTGTGTGTGTCTGTGTGTGTCTGTGAGAGAGAGAGAAATACCTATTGGAAAATTTTCTGAGATGAAATAATTTCTATATGAGTACTTTGTTTTTATTCTTGTTTTCAATCTCTGAATGGAAACAGCTAGTGATAATCATGTATGTTGCATGTGGAGTTTAGAACATCCATTTACTACCAGGAGCAGTGAAGGCAAGAGGCCAGAGCAAGCCTAGGTATCTGTTAGTGGGCACCTTAGGACAAGCTGAGGTTAAGGTCTAATTCTAAAGAGGCAAAAGGAAATGTTCTCCTAGCTGCTAATGTATAGAGCTCATGAAATACTGTAGGTGACATAAAGGTTTTGCTTATAAATTATATAACTAGGCTTGTTAAATCTTTTTATAAATCTGAGCTACCTTGACTAACATAAGTGGGTTTCAGAAAGTTTGTGGAAAACTGGAACGAAAAGAAAATGAAAATTTTCTATGAAATTTTTAAAGCCCCTTTGCAGCATGCATTAATGATTAAATAATTAATTAATGGTTCATTCTCATTGTCAATAATAAATCCAAAACCAAAGAAATCGTTTTTTGACTCGATAATTTTAGCAGTAAATTTTGAGACTCCTGTTTACTTTGTTTTGTCTATTACTGATTAACCAAGGCAAAAATCGGAAGTCTTAAGACTATCCAGTAAAAAAATTTTTTTAAGAAAAAAGACTATCCAGTATACACTTTTCAAATTATTATGCATTTGCAAATTCAAGGAGAATAAACTGGTAGTTAACCCCTGTGAAGGGACTTGCTAAGTATAGCCTTACTCGTAAAGCAAATGGGGCGACAGGATCCTCTCATTTTCACAGGGTGAAAGTGCAGTAAGCTCCGATGATGTGACCTTGGCTTGGTCCTACTTTTTTCCTAATAGATTCTGCTAGATATGAACTACTTATATGTTTGCTTGCCCTATGTAATTAGCCCTTTGCTAACTTCTTAATATGAGTTATGTTTCCATTAAAGTATGAATGTAAGAGCTGCCATCTGAAAAGAAAAAGCATTCTAATTAGTATTGTTTGTTTGCTTTTGAGGAATGCACTAGAAAAGCTTCATAGTATGGATGATGCCTTTAAAAAACAAGTTGATGCAATTGCTATGGCTCATCAAAACGAAATATTACAACTATCAAATGAAAAACAGAAGTACCTTGAATCTGCGAATGAGAAGGTAGCATAAGTAAAGTGCCTCTGGCGTTGATAAGATTGCATTTTACAGTAAATACTATTTTTGAGAATTTTAAAGGAAAAGCGTGATCTGACAATCATGAAAACAGGTCAGAATGTAATGCTGAGGTTCATTGTAGAACATAATTCTAATGAACCCAGAATAGCACTTTGACTCTGGTGTGTACTTTCCCATGATGTCTGGATTCAAAAACTCTCATATTTCTTTTTTTTTAATTTATCACTTTTTAATCATCTTATTAGGGGCTCATAAAACTCTTATCACAGTCCATACATACATCAATTGTGTAAAGTACATTTGTACATTCATTGGCCTCATCATTCTCAAAACATTTGCTCTCCACCTAAGCCCCTGGCATCAGCTCCTCATTTTTTCTCCTCCCTCCCTCCCGACTCCCCCCTCCCTCAT